ATTATTATTATTATTAATATTATATTTATTTATTTATTTATTTATTTATTTATTTATTTATTTATTTATTTAATATCCCGCCTATCTAGCCAACTCAGGACCACTCTAGGCGGCCATAGCCAAGAAGGCATGATTTCTGGTGAATATTTTCTTTGCCCCTCAATGAAGTGACCCAGAGAAGTAAGGCCATTGAAGAGTGGGTGGAACAGGCTGATGTTCTGAGGGACAGATACTCAGATTGTGGGGGCCCAAATCAGTATTAGCCACTGTAATATTTAAGTGTGTGTGAGATGAGCCTAGAGGTGTGTGTGTGTGTGTGTGTGTGTGTGCGTGTGCGTGTCCTTCTACTGTATAAACTGAATTTTTTTGGGGGGGGCTGTGTTTTGAGGTTTACCTACTGGTGGGGATATGCAGTGACAGGGTGCTGGGTTATGCTCTGTCATGAACTCATTTGTTCCAGCATCAGTGTGGCAGGAGTTAGTGGCCGCACAACTTTTCAGAATGTTGTTTCCCCTTCACTCATTGAACTCAGGAGGTGGTGAATTAATCATCCAGCCCTTGGCCAGGTGTATCATTGCTTAGTGCCCCTTGTTGACCCCTTGGCCAACATGTCTTCTCTGACAGAACCAATCTGCCAGCAGGTGTCTGAGAGGGGAATCAATGGGGAGAGCCCAGGGCAGCCTGTCAAAAAGCATTTTCCACAGGGGTGAGCTAAGTAGAAAGTGCTGCTTTTTAATAGCCACATCAGCCTGGTAACTCATCAAGTTTAGGATAGAATTATAGTGAACATTGCCAATATGGAAAACAAAAAGAAATTGATTGGATTCAGACCTCAGACCTACTGGCTGGATCTGTGGCCCAGTGGCACCAATTACCTCCATCGATGTGTTGAAATAATTTCATATAGATCTTTACAAATTTCATGAGGAGGAAAACAAATTCAAGGATAGAGATGTAGGCATAGATAAAGGCACACAAAGATACTTATTTCATCACATTTATATCCTGCTTTTCCTCTGATGTACTCTTCTTTTCCACTTTATCCTCACAACAACCCTGTGAAGTAGGTCAGGCTGAACTGAAGGTTCCCAGAAAGTTTAATGTCTGTCTGGGCACTTACAACTGGATTTTCTCCAATCACTGACTCAAGGTTCCCAGAAAGTTTAATGTCTGTGTGGGCACTTACAACTGGATTTTCTCCAATCAGCACTCCAGTGCTTTAACCACAGCATCACACTGTCTCTCTGTCCAAATTTTTAGGTGGCTAGTAATAATCTCTGGAAAAGGTTAAGGGCCCACCTGTAGTTTCTCTGTAACTCATCCACACTCCCAGATAACCACTTGATTGAATGGAGAAGACATGGCAGATACTGTATCTCTCTCAGCCTTTGACCAGGATCCCAGCTGCATCTCTTTTGCATGTGAGGATTGTAACTTTGAGCAGAAAGGCAGCTAGATTTTTTTTTATTCTATAGCTGAAATGTTCTGCTACATTTCCAATATGTCAAAAAAGCAAAAGAGAAGTGTTCATTTCTGGGAGGAGAGAGAATGGCTGTGTCTTGAAGACATACTGCTTTCTCAAACCCATCCAAGATCTAACTTTTGAAAGAGAAGAAAAAGGGTGATTGGTTTCTTATGCTTCTTGCACCCTCCCTAAAACCCTGGGAGGAGAGGAGAGCTTAGAAATGGTGGTCATGCTTGCTGGGGAATTCTGGGAGTTGTAGTCCCAAACATAGTTATAAGTTGGGTGGGGCAACTGAGGTTTTTGCTCAAGGGGACAAAAATGAGAGGAGATCAGTACAGTATGTGCTGCTTAAAGAGTATAGATGTAGCTGCCCCAAACACATATAACCATCTCTAGTTGCTTCTCCAGAGGCATAAGGAAACATCCTTGCTCCACTTATCATTGGATGCAGACCCTGAAGGGAGAGGAAGGAACATGGCCATCATTGTTTCCAGATTTAGCCATTTTGCATACCTGCTAGGGTGGAGAAGCTGAGGCAGGATTGCTCACATTCGATGGCAAAAATGGAGTCAAGCTGATGAGTGAGGACAGCTTGTAACTTTCGGGTAAGATAGGAGATGTTGCTTAGTAGTCTGAACCTGATATGAGAGTGAGGTAGAAAAATTGAGAATGTTTGGATACAATTCTGGCTGTTTGGCAGTGCTGAGTGGGAGGGGATGAGACACACAGAGAGAAGGGTGAGGGAAGAGGAAGGGGAAGGGCTTGAAGAAGGGTTCAGTCTGACTTCTTGAAAACAGGCTATTGGCTAGCTAACTTATATGCATACCTACAAAATGTGCACAACATTACCTTCTCCAACACTTGAATTTTGTCAAGTATCAAAAAATGGAAGGGAAGAAAGCTTGAGGCACTGAATTACATTAGATATGGGAAAATTTATGTTTTGGAAATTAGTAGAACAGGATGTTATGTGACGTGAATAAATGTTCTTTATAAACAGAGATGGGGGGCTCAGGCATTATTTTTCTTACTCTTGAGAGCAACAAAACCTAGAAATGTGCATTGAAAAATATGAAATGTTATGCCTCGAGATTAAAAAGAAGATATTCTATTCTTCACTAGGATACAGTGTCTATGTCACTAATCGTGCAGATTTCTTTAAGTTTTGTCCTTTTTCATAATGTGACTAGGATTGCCTGTCGTCTTTTAATCTGGCCAGTTGTGAACAATTCAGCTATGCAGTATGCTAGTGGGACAAAACAAGATGAACCTTGCAGTTATTAAATGGAGAATTGGAAACTAGATGACTAATGACTAGTGGTAATTAAAGTCTTGCTATTGTTGATGGCAGACTCTGGCTTTCCAGTCATTCTGCTTTGCACAGAAGCCAGATCAGTTGACAGCTGCCCAACCTCTTTATTGAAGTCCAGGCAGAGCCCAGGAGCTGCTGTAAAACACAGACACAAGTTGATATCCATAATTAACATGCAATGTATTATGCCCAGTAGGGTTACGTATCCAGTGTCAGATTCTACTGCATACCTTCCAACATTTCATAGATGAAAATAGAAGCACATTAATAACTCCCCTACTTCTGCTGCTTAAATGCTGTTTTTATGTTTAGGAAAAAGAGATGTGCCATGGGTTTTGACAAAGGCCTTTAATTATTAGTAGAAGAGAAGGAAAAATACAAACACGGGTGTTCTGTGAATACAAGTACGCCTTCTTATGTGTCTGTAATACAGATTTTTTTAAAAAGCCACACGTGTTTGCTAATTGGCCCTTTTTATTTTGAGATGAAATAAAACACTTATACCTAATTCACACACATTTAATAGAAACTTGCTTTGGTTTATTGTATTTTAAATGGCTTTGGATGAAAAGAACTGGATAAAGAGCCTGATTCATATTGTAGAAGACTGGTCAGCTTCTCTCGTACGGGCTAGGCAGGTGTCTTCTAAGCTGTGAACCAAGAAGTGGCACATCCTGAGGTCATGTCTGAAAAGAGGCACTTGGCTAAATGGATGAAAATGCTGCATTATGTCCTTTACACATTGCAAAAGAGACCAAAGAGACCAGACCATTACAAAGTAATTTGTAGCTTGCATGATGCCAAAGTTGTTCAGGAACCAGAAGATGGTTGTTGCCTAATACTTGCAAACATAACAGAAACAACAATTATTTGTCTGAATTAATACATTTAGTTCAAAAGTGTGGCCACGGTTCAAAAGCATAACTTTGGTTCAAAAGTTTGGCTTTGGTTCAGGAGACTAGTAACTTGGAAGCAACCGCAATTTCTTCTGGCACTGAGGTGTCCCCAGACGCTTTTTAAAGTAATGCTGAGAGAAATAGTCTAGAAGTAATTGTTTTGAAAATTGCAGCAAACATCGCCTGCCCTGTTTTCAGTTTGACTTGATAACGTTCACTTAATTTCTCAAATTGTGTCCAACAGGACAATTCTGTCATCCACAACAAAACACTGTCATGAGGCAATGGTCATTCCCATCCTTTGGAGGACGTTCTCAGTCTTCAAATTGTGGTATGATTGGGTTCCCTCTCCCTTCTGCCATCTTTTCAGAAACTTCTAAGAGAATCTACCAGTAGGTTTACATATCACTTCAACAAAATTACGAGAGTGGTTTTGGCAGATGTGTTCTCTGGCACAGATATTTTTCTACACATGCTACAATTCTGAATGTCCGGTAGTTCTTGGATAAACTTTTTAAGGATCCAAACTGTACCACGCTTCTTGCTCCCACTTAGTACTAGGCCTGAGAGAAGCAATGGGCCTGTCGAGCCATTGTTGTAACACACCTGTATGAGTGCTGGAATGATGACAGTGAAAGAAAGAAATCTTTCTTCTTTTTGTGTGACCTGATCCCCAAACAATTCACAATGTTTTTCATGGAGATGCCTCTTCTTAATCACCCACTTTTGATCAGGATTTGCCATCAGTTTTGTAGACAGATTCCAAATCTATTGCTCTTGGGTGTCTGTCTATTAGAGGGTTTTGATAGCAGGGCTGGGAATTAAGGGTGCAGGACAAAACGAATACGCTGCGAGTATGCTAAATCCACAATATAGAGCACAAGATTCACATATGTAAACACGGTAACGACCACCTGGCTGTCCCAGGGGCAGGAGGTTCTGGAGCACTGATATGGGCGATGTGGAGAGCCATACTTACGGTCAAAACAGAAGACAGGCCAGATCACAGCAGCACTTATATACATCAGGACAGCCACAAATGTGTAAACGACAACAAAACGTTCAAAGGGGCACTTCAGCATAGCCGTCCTTCCTGTGACACTGAGTGCCACCACTGCCACGGTCACAATAAAACAGAAGCTGTAAACAGCCACACACCACTGGGTGGCTGCGTACCTCTCGTACTGGCTGCCGTTCAGCAGAGCTCCAAAGATGATACAGGCTACAAAAGCCTGGACAATTTTTAGGAGGCCTGAAACGGTGGCCATGTAGCTGGTCACTTGTCCTGGCTTGGCCCTCGTAAGGAGGACCTCCGTGGCATAGGCAAAAAAGAGAAGCCCCGCAAAGACGCTGGCCGATATGCGGAAGTCTCTCACCTCACATCCATCAGCATGGCAGGCAAATGGGACATAGAGTGGGTAGATCACAGCGGCCGTGATAGAGGTGAGGGTGGCAAGCATGGCGAACGCAGCCGTGAAGTTCCCCCAGGAGATGGTCAGGCAGCTGTGGAGGCGGGTGAACTCGCAAGTGATGATGAAGATGGTAACGGCAAAACAGGAGCACCAGACAGACATGCAGAAGGTGCCGTAGGCCGCGCTGAATCCCCCTCGATGGGCCACAAGGCTGAACGTTGTACATCCAAAGGCTGCCTGCAACAGCCGAGCAACTCCCACCGGAGAGGTCACGGCAGCCATGTTGAGGTGTGCCCCTCCTGAGCTCTCCATCATTGATTCAGAAACCCAGTATTCCTTTCGCAGTTAGATGTGGTCTTCCTGCCCTTCAGCCCCCTACCTGATGCCGGATGACTAAGCAGTGGCTGCAGCACAAGTCTTATGATCCATAGCCCTCCGCCTTGGTCTCCTGGCTGGCTGTTATTTATGCTGCAGAGCCTGCATTTCTGGCAGCTTTGGGAGAGAGTCTGAGCACTGCAGCGAAAGTATTGACCGGCCTTTCTTGTACGCTGCAGTTATGATCCATCAGCTGTGCTTTGCTGGGGTCTGCGTGCTGAGTGCTCCTTCAGCATTCCTGTCAGTTACTTGTCCCTCCTTCCACCTCAACTGATCACTTTCTCCCAAGAAACCAACAGGACGTTTATGTTGCCTCAGCTAAGCAGCTGTGTAGCTCTCCACTACATTACTGCAAGCAGCCAGCATATAAATAGGAAGCTATATTAATAGACGTACAGTATCTGGAATGGAATGAACCGTGTGGTTTGCGCAGTAATGAAGAGAGAGCTTTAATTTCAGCCCGGGCAGGTTCTCATGTTGATTCTTTATCTCTGTGTCAGAAACCAAGATATACCAATTTAAATTACATTAGATCAGAGCTGAAGAAGAGGAAAAGGGAAACAAGGCATCCACTTCAAATAGAAAAGCAATGTTCCTGTTTCTCTCTTGTGACACTGAACTTACAGCAGGTGTATACCTAACATGGCTCAACAAGGTTGATGGTGGGGAGGGGGGCACTGTCTCTTTCAGAGGTTCCCTGACTGCCTGTATGACCAGAAAATAAAATAAAATAATATCTAGCCCTTCCTGTTGTTGCACCTTACCTAGGAAGGGGCCTTATACAAGTCAACATTATTTGTCTTCCCAGTTCAGCATTGTCTGCTTGGATCTGACAGCATTTCTCTGTAGCTTCAGGTGATAGTCTTTCCCATCACCTGCTCCTAGAAATTACCTGTTGCAGGGTGACGGGGGAGGATGTCAACCTGGCAACTGAATTTGGGATCAGCATGCCTTGCATGTGCTCTACCACAGGCCATAAGCTAGCAATCCCGTGTTCAAATGCTTGAAGACCTGAAGGTGCAGGGCAGGTGGATAGCCTAACCTGCCCCTGACTTCTTCAAGCAAGTGGCACCCATAACTCCAGGTGCACCTCCATACGAAATGTCCAGAGGCAGAGTATTTGGATGCTCTGGACTCCAGATCCACATTGCTGCTGTGCCGGCAGAAGGTCCACCCAGTTCACTACACAAGGGGAAGCATGCAAAACAAAGGCACCCTCGTGAGTGGCAAAGAGAAACTGACAAGATTGACAGCTTGTAGTCTGGCAAAGGAGGGGGTGCTTTTCCCCAGCCAAACTTTCTCTCTCTGCTGGATCTCTTTTCAAATCAGACTGCAAGGTTTCCCCGCAGCCTGAAACCCATGATCCTGGCATGGTCTTTCCCTACGAGTCCCAAACCAGAGTCCAAGACTTTGAGCCCAAGTCCAAAGTCCGAGTCTTGAATCGCTTGCCCTACCCACGAGGCTTGGGACATGTGACTGGAACCCAAAGACTCGGGCCTCCCGCCACTGCCATGCCCCCCGTGCTCCCTCACTGCTGCACCCCCTGCTGCCACGTGACTCCCAACCACCCCAGGCACCTCATGCACCCCCTACTGCTGCCGTGCACCCCTGCCGCCACACACACGGACACTGCCGCAACCCCCATTGCCATCACACACACACACACCCAACTGCTCCTGCCATTGCCGCTAGACCACCACCTTCCAGGCCTGTGCAGACAGACAGTGGGCCTGGACGGCAAGCCAGGTGGGCACACGCAGAGACATGCGGAGACATTAGGCCTGCTCCGTTTCCATTCTGGGCCCGTTGTCTCCTCAGGCCCGGCAGGGGGTGTGGTGGCCTCAGCATCAGCAGCAGCAGAAGCAGGTGTGTAGGTTGCAGTGGGGGTGTGTGCAAAGGTGGGGTACAGAAACAGTGGGGATTTGACAATACAAACTCTGGAAAATGGTTCCGAGTCCTGAATCGAGTCTGAATCATTGTTAAAAAAACAAACAAACCTGTGAGTCGAATCCAAGTTGAGTCACTGGTGCAACTTGAGTCGGACTCGACAGCAAGTTGTACGACTCGAGTCCCTGTCCCTGATTTATAATGACAGAGGCCTTCTCATCTGCCAAAATGATTCAGAAGAATCTAATTCACAAGCAATTTAAAATAAACAATCCTCTTGTGGTTGAGTAAAAAACCTCTCTTTCCAACAACAACAACAAAAATGGTTTCCGGGCAAAAAAAATCTGTGCTTCCTTGTGTTTTGTGTAGTCAGAATTTAAAAGATTGATTTCAAATATGTTAAACCTGATTCAAATACTGTACAGGGTTTTCCCCATAGGTATAAGGGTATAACCACACCCTTACATAAACATTGCCCGTTTCCATATAAATTGGTTTTGTGTCATGAGTCTTTTATCAATCCTAGCGCATGTTATGATGCTAATATCCCAGATCAACCACAGCATTACTTCATTACTTTTTCTAATTTCAGATGACTTTTTGAAGGTGAATCTAAAAGGAGGCAGCAACTTCTTTTAAAACAGATGGTCAAGGGAGGTATTGCCAAACAGGAGGATATACATAATGAAAAGGAGGCCACAATAGTCTTCAATACCCAACTGCAAAACTCTCCCTTCTGTAATTAGAGAGAGAGAGAGAGAGAGAGAGAGAGACCAATACCAATCCAGTCTTCAGATTTCTGTGGTGCCACAAAGGGGTAGAAAAATGACAATTATTTTGTTTTATGTTGTCTTTGCTGCCATAACAAGTGTCACTGGGGTTTTCTAAGGCACCAAAATGTTTTGGGTCTTCTATGTATGACAGTAATTTTTCTTAAATGTTCAAAGATTTGAATGAAAATAACCTTACAGTTGTTCTCACATCTCCTATTCGTGTGCTTATGTTTTGAAGGACTGAACCCTAATTCTAAAACTTTTGAGAATAGTTAGACATGCCAGGGGTTGTTTGTTGCTGCATTTAGCCTTCTCTGCCACTGAAAGGGGAACATTTTGTACTTTGTAACATGTCTGGAATCCTTCTTGAAAACAGAGCATGCCTTCAACAAATCCCAGTTTAACGTGTAATAGAATGGAACAGCAAAATCCATCCCTCTCTGGATGAGTAAGAAATCTTCCAGTCCACCTGTCTTACATATTATATACTACCTGTAATCAAGATTGTTCCATCATACTGATTCTACTAAGGCTGTCTGAAAATGGTGGAAGATACCTTTATTCTGGAAAAAAACGCCTCCCTTATATTAACTTTGAGAAATTGTAGCACTGGCTTCCACAACCTGTGCGCATCTACTGTGATGGTCAATATTTTTATGGTGGGACTACCCAAAGCCTTTCCCAAAATTGGATTTGGATACAAGGAAAGGGCTTACGTGCAATGTTACGTAAGCAAACCTCTGCTTGTACAATGGCAGTTTTCTTCCCACCTTTGCTCCCTTTTGGCTCTTCAAAACGTTGATGATGGGTCCACCAAGCATCTGAAGCAGATTTCCAGGAGACTAAAGTGGGGAGGGTAAATCTGATATATAGCCAGTATCTGTTCCATTGGTGAATACAAGCAAATATTTACATCATTAGGCCGTATGTATTATTTTATAAACATTTGGTATAATTATTGTAGCATGCATATAGAGAAAAGTGGGTTGGATATGCTTCGTTGTTACTACTGCATTGTTCCAGGGCTCCTAAGAGTCATTGGTGGAGGTAGTAAATTACGTCCTAATTTCTCTTGCCTTGAAATGTTTGTAGAGTATTATAAATCTGTGTGCATTTTCAGGAATGATTCAAGGGTGATTACTATTAGAGGGTGGACAGCTGGCAGTGGCCTTGTTTTTATAGGCTTTTTAGCATACCTGATGGCTGCCATTATTCTCTCTCAGAATTTCCACAGAACTTTTGTCAAGATGTCATGTCATGCTAAGAGTTGTTCTTCAGAGGGAAAAGTGAGCAATCAGACCTGCTAGTAAGAACTCATTTTAAAACAATGTTATGCTGGTGTAGTCTGAGAGATAAGAATGATGGCTGGTACTAACCACATGTTACTACTCTCTGTGAAATTTAAAGATTTTTAAAATCCCAAGGCAGTTGTGGAAAAATCTGAAAGCCCATAGCCCAGCCATGCATTGAGAGCAAGGATTTCTCAAATGAAATGTTCTCCTGCTAAAAAAGAAATAATTTACCTCTGAATAGGATGATGGAGGGGGGAGGCACATCACAATTGTTATAATTTAGGGCCCATCTGCCTCTGAGAATCCCTCAACATGTATATTACTTTGAGAGTGAAAGCGCAGTGTCCTGTTGGTATTAGAACTAGTAAGGGGCATGTGTTTGCTTTTGTGTAGAAACAGAACCCAAACACAAAAGAGAATGGAGAAAAAAATAGGGATTGAGCAAGTAAACAGAAAGAAATTGCAGTGACTCCTCAATTTCATTGAAGTCCTGAGCCAAATCAGGATTTTCTCCAGAGACAAGAAGCCCCATGTTAATCGATCCCAGATCAATTATTTCTGTAATGTACTGTATTGATCTTCTCAGATAAGTCCCTCCTCTTCATGACATCATTTCCTAGGAGACATCTGTGATACTCCTCCCTCTACAGCTTCTCAGAAGTACTGTGTTTTGTGGACTACTCATGCTTGGAAATAACAGTTACAAATAACTTCACTAGTAATTCATTACTTTCACCAATAATTATAGTTACATTACTTTATGATGGCAATTTAGCTGAGGAAACTTTTTTTCTTCAGTGGTGTAAATGTCATGTTATACTCATGGGGATACTCTCTAAATAGTACAGGAAGAATATCATGTAGTTCAGCTTTTGGCTCATGCTGTGCTTCATACTTTCTTGTGGGTGTTCAAACAGGTGAAGGTGTTTAGGACAATGTTTTCCTCCACAGACCCACAGATGATAACATGCATTTAAAATAATAATAACAGTTTTTAAAAAGGACAAGTTACTTTTGAGAAATGGGAAGTATAGAGCTAATTTCTTGAGTTATTGAAAGAGGATTTTTAAAAACCCAATGGCCTTTTCTGGACCTTGTTACTACTCATCTGATGCCTCCTGCTACTGAGTTATCCAGCCACATTACATTAGCTTTCTTTAAAAACAAACAAACAAACCCCAAACCCTGACCTATGCCATCATCTTCTTTCCCTAAATAATACAGCCCTCATGCTAAACATAATATGGTGTAAATTGGAATACTTTGATCTTCTCATTGGTTGCAAATGACTATGGTTCTCTGTCTAGATTAAGATGGATATCTTGGACACTATAATAGAGGCAGCCAGAAATGCTCACTGATGATAGCAAATGATAACGTGCTTTCTGTTTTCCCACAAGCTGAGGCAATTTAAATTGGTAAAGTGGTGGCAGGAATGTCCTTATTTGACACTGTGGGGGTACTGGGAAAAATGTGCATGGAGGCATTCCCGTCCCCTTCATTTTTATCACAAGTCTGTAGAACAGTGGTTCCCAACCTTGGACCACTGCCCTAGAGTCAAAAAGGACGAGTGAGCTGACATAGACATGATCTTGAGTCTTATGATGAAGGATATGGAGTTAGAAACTGCGGCTGCTTCCAGATGAATGGCTCCTAGAGTTATCAGTCCCCACTTCAGCTCTATTTGTGTTGCAGGTGAATGCCTGCACAGGGCTATACAAGCAGAGAAGAAAGGTAATAGCATAGACCTGAGAACCTATACTACATTTGTACTTCACAAAATGAGCCACAGTTAGTTACATTACTGTTTTAAGCGTGAGATGATTATGTGAGGTCCCGAAGAGTTCATGCAGTCCTCTTTTAGGAAGAAGGCTGTTGAACAGGAAGCACAAAACCTCTTTTTTGAGGCTGTTATTGCATTCTTTCTTCACTTCCCAAGCAAAAAGAAACATACCACACAGTGCAGCCATAGGGATCTAATAACAATTATAATAATGCCAATGCTGACCCTTGCCCTCTCCCACACACACATGATCAGAAGGAAAACCTTTCAAAAGGAGAAGTATTTACAACTTTACAACAACATGTGAGCATATCTTGGGTCAGCCCTTATAAATAGCATTTACATATTAAAATAAATATTTTCACATTGCCAAAATAGCACAAGGTGTTCTGTCTCATTATTAAAAAAATATGTTACAAAACAATATCATTAATCTTAAATTTCTTGCTTATTTCTTTAAAAATTAAGTAATAACATCATTTAATAAAATAATACAAAAGTTTAAATTGAGTACAAGGTAAGTCCGTTTCTAGCCTGTGTGCTTGGTTTGTACATTATGTTACCTTGTGAGATGCTGGCCTCCAGGAAGTCATGTGATCACACCTTCATTTCTAATTGGACAAATAATCCAGTGCTTTCCCCTCCCACAAAGTGTTATCAGTCTATCATGTGAAATATTATTGGAAGCTGTCAGGCCTTTTAGCCCTGGAGAGAGTTCTTGCTGTTGGCATTTCTATGCACTGTACTGCTCCCTGCAGACCATCAATGAATGGTTGTGGACAGAGGTTCTGTTTGGCAGAGACGGTCCCTGAAGCAGAGGTAATCTTTCAGTCGACTGGTGTTGGCAAGCTTCTCTTCGCCCTAACATACTAACTGTGCAAGAGTGTGCGAGTATGACCTTGATTGAGTGTCTGTGCCGATGCTTATAAGTTTAAAAAGGAGCAAGGAGGATAGGAAATTTGAGAGTGGAGCTGAAAGGCACCTTCTCTGTATGCAGTCACACACGATCCTCCTTAAAGGAAAACTCTCCTAGCTACCACTACTCAGCATCCCCAGAAGTTTGCTGGGCTCCAGACCTTGCTGCTGTGCCATCTTCTGCACATCAAAGCCCATATGCATGAGAAACTGGATCACATTCATCTCCTGTCCTGTGTACTGATCCCGGATGGTAGGACATGAAGGGTTACAGTGCGGCCAGGGACAACTGTCAATCAGGTGGATAGGGCAGCCTTTCAATGGAGCCTTGCCATTCTTATTACTGTCATGGAGGCTGCGATCCCAGCAGTGCAAGGCACGGGGTAAGGAGGTCCCTTTCACTTGGATGTCTGTCCAGTGACTGCAAAAGCAAACCACACAAATTACGTGGTTACATGGAGTATCACTGCAGCGTTCTCATTCCTTAGCATATGACCTCTCATGTGACCCTAAATGGCAGCCCTGTGACTAGACAGGAAAAGCCGCTCAAGACACAGCTCACTGACACCATGGTCTTCAGAACAGGGTTACATCATGGTGCGCCTTCTGGCGCGGCACCTTCACAGAACGGGCTGCTTAAATGCAAACAGGAGGAGAAACTGGAAAGCAACAAAGCAGCCAAGAAACAAAGCAGGTGTTAGGAACCTGGGGGTTTTATAGTGCTGTTAGCAGCTATGTATCATTCTTTCCAGAATCAAACCTATTAGTACAGAGGAGCCAGTTGACATCAGGTACTGTAGAACTACGAAGTTCAGTGCTCAACAGTGGCTCATGCTTAGTATCTATTTATATGATTTATATTTATGAAATGTCTGGTAAAAAGAGTTCTCTAGGCAGCAGAAGATTCCAGAAATCTTCCGAAGAAGAGGTGAGCAGCGCCTTGAAGTAACCTTTGACAACTAACAATACTTGACAAATGCTATTTTTGGGGTAAAGGAGGACATAACAGTGCCCCCTTCTTTGCAAATCAACAGCTAACCTTGACATTATTTTCTGCCATTTGACAACCAACATGTTTGGAGAAGACAATGCTTGGGAACCATTTTAAGGGATTTCCACCTCACATTTAAGGCATTTTCTTACAGCTTTAGACACCCTCGCCCAGTAATGAAAAAAGCAATAAGTAACATAATGGATGAAATCTGTAAATTACACCAGTAAGGATGACAAACTTAAAGTTATTCCAACAGCAGCAGATTTTTGGAAATCAAAGTCTTCCCTCATCCCATGGCTCCAAACAGCTCTTCCATGATGAGGATCCAACAGGAACTTCAGGATCTTTGGGGGAGGGACTAGAAATGTTTTTTTTTTCTGAAAAATTGCTGTGGCTAATCAGCCATACACTAATCAGCCATACACGGTACAGCTGCATGAATAAGACCTCAGACACTGAATCACTAGAGCAACAGTGATGAGTTACTGGGGAAAACTTGTAAAGAATTACATAATGAATTACTTCTGAAGAATGACTTCTGTTAATGGGCACAAGTCATACTTCCTGGACAAACTTTTCTTTTAAAGAACTAAAAACACAATCTACCCAAATGGAGTGACTGCAAAACGGCTGGTTGGTTTAGACAGTTATGTAGTTTGTTTTAAATAACTTGATGCTTCTGAGACAAAATTTAGAAAAACAATTTGTTTTCTGTATCATGAGTTCACTTAATTTATATAGATCTACTACTTGTCTCTCCACCAAAGTTTCTTAATTTGTTGTTGAATTGTGGCGAAGCAGGTAGAAGCTTTTGCTATTAAACCATCAGGAATTAGAAACAGTTGCATATCTACCCATAAATTTAGCAACCTTTTGTCCATTACTGTTCTGGGGAGAGGGGCTTGCAAAGCAGATGACGACACAACTGTCTTCTCCGTGGCTCTACTAGGTGATAAGGTCCATTAAGATGACAAGGTGCAAAGCAAAGTAAGAATACCTGCCTTATTTCCAAATACTTACTTGCGTGTAATGATCTCATGAGACAAACAAGCTGGAGCAAAGCTGGCTCTGAAGTGGAAACAAAATAACCCCAAAATGAATAGGTGTGAAAGGAAAGCAAAATATTTCAAATTTCTATGCAAACAACCAAGAATTTGGCCACTCCTTAAAACAGAACATGGTCTTCAGATGCTTTATGGGTATATGTCACTATGACTGGACTGAGAGGCAGCTATAGAAGGGAAACTATTCTCAGCTGAGTACATGGGCTAATCAACACTGTAGTGTTGTCCCCAGTCATTCTGGAATCGCTTTGAGTCATTTCTGGTATTTTTTTATTGCATCCCATATTAGTGTCCACAAAAGAGGAGGGTACTGTATTTGTTGTTGGATATACTGGGAGGTGCCCTTCCAACACCTCCAGAATGGCTTCCAGATCTCTTACTCCTAATGTAGGTAGGTGTCTCCATTAGGAGACTCCCTACCTTCTCAGCCCCCTCCCCATTTGTGTCACTCTCTCTTCCCTTCCCTCTTTGTTGTACCTGCCCATTGTTCTTGAACCTTGGTATTTGTTTTGTTTTGTTTTTCAGTTTTGATACATAGTGCAAAACTTAAAACCTTATTTTTTTAAAAGGCCGGGAAAGAGGAACAACTGATATCTCAAAAAAATTGAACAGGAGCAGGTTGAGGGGTGGAAACTAACCAACAGAAACATACCCATAAAGAAACGTCATCAGATGACACGCATTCACAAAGTGCATAGCCCAGTATACTGGAGTCCACACAGGCAGATAATGCACTGAGATTTATCAGAACAAAGCAGGACAAAAATACATCACTAGATGGCAATGTTTTAAAAAACAAACAAACACCAAGGGAAGAACAACCTTCAGAACACGGCCAAAGAACCCGAAAAATCCACAACAACCAAACACCAAGGGGTTTTGTCCCACTTTGACTATTGACACTAGTTTCAGCCTTGCCTTATACATTGCATTGCATTGTATTGTATTGAGCCTTGCACTGAGATGCAGTAATGGATACAAAGTTGAACATGTTCAATGTGGCCAGGCCATATAATAAAACTACTGTACTCAGTCACTTGAGGTTTAACTTTATTCTTTCATGTGGTTGCAAGAAGGTTGAAAGTATGACACTTAAACAATGATCTCAGAGCACTAGGAAACTTTATACCATTCTTCGGTAATTTGAGTTTGTGGTGATTGGTCACAGCTGACATTTATCCTTGAAAGGGTTAATTTTAATGTGAGATTAGATAACCTTTTCAAAATGTCCACAATTTATCCAAGGAAATTCCTCCTAAGGTTCAAAAGAAGGAGGGTCAGATAATCAGACAAAAATCAGATAAGAAGATAAGATACTGTACTGAGAATGATCAACCCGGTAAAAGATTTTAGCCTTGCCTTTTCTTGGGAGGCGAGCTCCTTAAAAAGGAAACAGACCTGAATCATTTGAAAGGAGGTTTCCTTATGTAAAATAGTTTTGCATAGTTACTGGCTAGATAAGCTGAATTCTGAAAATATTTGACAAGATGATGTAAATTCTAAGGATGCCCAAAAAGGCTGATTGCAACACAACTGAATCAGACTTCTCATCCTCTGATGAGGGATGAAATATTTAAACAATGAAAATATTTATAACTTGATACCATATGAACTTAGATATGATTGAAAAGATTATATGATCTCATACTGGACTTAACTCTTTCAGGGATAAATGTCAGCTGTAATGGACTACCACAGACTCAAACTACCAAAGAATTTTATAAAGTTTTATAGTACTTCAAGGTTATTGCTCAAGAATCATACATTTTATATGGACCGTTGTCTGTGTGCTTTGTGAACACCTGTCAGGATGATAAACGAGAAGGCTGGAAAGACTGAGCAATGTAAGGTAAAGGTTCCCCTTAACATTTAGTCCAGTCATGTCTGACTCTAGGGCGTGGTGCTCATCCCCGTTTCCAAGCCGTGGAGCCAGCGTTTGTCCATAGACAGCTTCCATGGTCACATGGCCAGTGCGACTAGACCTAGACATGGAATGCCGTTACTTCCCACTGTGGTGGTACCTATTTAGCTACTTGCATTTACATGCTTTCAAATTGCTAGGTCGGCAGGAGCTGGGGCAGGCGACAGGAGCTCACTCCGTCGCATGGATTCAATCTTACGACCGCAGGTCTTCTGACCTTGCAGCACAGAGGCTTCTGCAGTTTAACCTGCAGCGCCACCACGTCCCAAGGTACAAGAGCAATGTACAAGAGTATTAATTCAGCTTTATTCTTAAATGTTAAGAAATTAGAAAACCTGGCCTAATACTTGCTTCTGGATTCTCACCAATCATTTTATTCGGTTGTGTGACACAAATAAGATTCCCAACACAGTTTAGAATTTCTCTGACATTGTAGCTTATTTTAAGAATTTGGAAGGATTTGAAAAACAGCAGGTCCCTAAATATCCTCACAGGAAAGATTGTGAAGTATCCAGAAACAATAACGCAAGACTTACGCCACATCCTTGAGGGTGTTTCTTAATTCACGGCCCATGTTTTGAATGTAAAGCCACTGTCCCTCCTGCACGGGCTGGCCAGTCAAATGTACATTGTCCACAGTGAGTTGGGCTTCATCAAAGAGCCACTGAACGATGAAAACAGGACCTACAC